GATGTTAATAATTAAATAAATAATTCTGAACGGCTGCACCATATTCAAACGAAGGGAAAAAAGTGTTGAGAAAAATGTTGATGCGAGTTGCATCTGGACAAAGAGTCCGTTGAAGTTGTGCCGGGTTGGGAGAGTTATCCAACCTTGGCTTTGTGTTTAAGAGGTGGAGGGGGATGCCCCGAGCCTTTGTGTGAGAGTTTAAAACAGAGAAAAAGTTGATTCAGACGCCTGAGGAGGCGTGAGCTGAACGGAGGAAAAAGTTGATCCAGACGCCTGAGGAGGCGTGAGGGGAATGGAGGAAAAGTTGATCCAGACGCCTGAGGAGGCATGAGGGGAACAGAGAAAAAGTTGTACCGGGATGGGAAGAAGTCCCATCCCAGTTGTTTTTGTTGTTTTTGAAGAGGTGGGAAGAAGCCCATCTTAGTTGTTAGAACAATTTTTCTGAAAGCAGACAGTCCGAGTGATGTTTTGACCACTTTTGCAGGCAATAGAGGTCAGAAAAGATGGCACCAGTGACAGGACTTCAGCATAAAGTCAGAAAATGCAATTACAGGCTCAACGGAGCAAACAAGAATGTGAGGACCGCCTGCTTGTTGAATGGACGGCACATTCAGTCGCTCGCTCAGTTTGGCAGGGTAGCTGACGGGGCGGTGGAGCAGGTGTCCCGGTTGCGAGGAAAATTCAAGAGAAAGAAAGCGATTGAAAGGTGTGTGGAGGAAGTTCAGGAGAAAGATAAACAGTTTTTACAACAAAAACAGTTGTTATCTGATGCACAGACAGAGTGCATGCTGCAGAAACAGCATGTGCAGTTGCTGACAGCACAGCTAGACCGCATGATTAAAGTAGCTGAGGGCGCGGTCGGTCAGATATGTAGGCTTAAAAGGAGGAAGAAAGAGCGTGATGTTTCGCCGGAGCGAGTCGGAGCTTATGTTGCAAGGTTGGATGACAGATGGAATCCGTCGAGTTTGGACAGTAGCATCTCGGGAGACAAAGAGGTTGTTTACTTGTCTAAAATATCACAACCCACAGATGCTCGAGTATCGAGGCTGTTGGATAAAGGTGGAGGTCAGGTAATGAATTCAGCGCATCGAGTCAGAGCTTTGCAAGACTCGAGACCGTTGTTTGAAGTTTGTGTAGAAACAGCCCGACAGATAGCATCGGATTGGTCTGATTTACAGGGTCATTGGGTGACCGTAGGGGAGTGCGAGCAGAGATGGGCTAAGGAATGCGCTCGCTGTGCGTTGGGTTGTAGATTCAGAGTGTTGGAACTGGGTGCACTCGGAGACTGGAGCACAGAGAGGAACACAGAGCTGAAAACTGTGAAAAAATAATTTAGCCAACCCATGGGTCGTGGGCCGAGAAAGGACGGCCGGAGAAACATGCAGGAACCTACTCGTTCTGCTTTCTAGAGGGCATTAATACAGGCAGGAGTGCATGCAGCTGAGATGGATGATGTGTCAGCAGAAGAGCTGAGGGCTGGAAGCCATTATTTGGATTAAAGGGGCAAAAGTAGGGTCCAAAAGTTGACATCAACACTCTGAAAAGCAGATATTGTCAAACATTGAACATCAAAGGTCCAGAATTAGAGAGCCCAGATTTTGACGTTAAATTAAAAAGCCCCAAAACTTGAAGGTGATTTTAAAATGCCAAAGGTCAAAGGAGAAATTAAGACATCTGATGTTGCCATTAAAGGCCCAAGCATTGACATTTTGGGCCACTAAGGATGTATTAAAATGCCTAAAGTCAAGATGGTTTAAGGGGAAAAGGGTGGATTTGAAATGTCTAGAAATAAATATGTTGTTTGGATGTGTTAAGCTGGTTGCTTTGAAGGAAGTCTTGTGTGGACCAGCGCGCGGTGCCATGCAGTTGTGATGTGAGTTCTGTCATTGGATCGAAAGGCTTCCCGGTCACTTGTCACGGTGAGAGATACTCATATCAATTTGTGTGTTAAGAGTGTACGAGTGTACATGACTTTGCTTGGCTGTTTTCTTGTGGCAGATTAATAAATGACAATATTATTCTAGCAAGTTACAGTCCCTTGTGTTTCATTTTCCTCTTGTCTGAATATCTGGTGCCGATCGCTCACGAACCCTTTGATAAAGAATTTCATAATACACACGCTCAAGGTGCAAACAATGGGGGGACCGGTCCTTTTCTGTTGCAGGCCCAACAGCCTGGAAGACTCTTCCCTATGAGCTGTGTGCCATCTCTGATCTGGTTCTGTTCAAAGCCAAACTGAAAACATACTTATTTAAAAGGGCTTTTAATGTTTAACTTTTAGTATTTTAGTATTTAGTATTTAGTATTTATTTTATCTCTTTTACCTTCTTTTATTCTCGCTGTGTTTTTAATTTGCACTGATTTATTGTGTCCTGTTTTTAATCTTGTTTTGTCTTGTGAAGCACCTTGGTCAATGCAAGGCATTCTTGGAAGGTGCTATAGAAATAAAGTTTATTATTATCATTATTATTATTATTATTATTATTATTATTATTATTATTTATACAGGCTAATCCCATGAGAATTTCTGACATGTGGCGCTAGTGTGAACAAAATCTTTTTCTTTTTTTTCCCAGTGGATGGAAATGCCAAAACCTTTTTACATGTATGTGCTTAAAAACAATTTATTAAGTTGTAAAACTATTGTATAAGAACAAAAAGTATTGTATCTCTGGCAACACTGATTTGGAATGATTTTCTGTCTCCACAGTTCATTTGAGGTCGGGGTTGCTCCAACCTGTTGATGTAAAGGAGCTGAGCTGAAAGGTGAAGGTCTTGATTTACTTTTCAAACCTCAGCTTTTGTCGTGGGATTGAACTAAAAGATGTCGATTCTGGAAACATGCCATTGAACTGGATTAGTTTTTTAGGATAGTCCGGCTTAGGGCTCTGGTCCGGCTCAGATATGGTGAGGAGCTCCATCATCCAGGGGGAGAGCTGCTGCTCCACTGAAAGCAGTCAGCTGGAGAGGTTAATCTGATTAGGGTTCCTCCAGGTCACCTCTCCCCTGAAGGTGTTTCCAGGCATGTTCCACTGGGAAAGGCCTAGAACCTGATGGAGGGATTATATATCTTCTTTGGCCTGGGAACACCTCAGGTTCCCTCAAGAGGACCCAAGAGGGTTAATGGGGAGAAGAACGTTAGGTTTCCATCCTGGGTCTGTTCACAACTGAAGCTTGGTTTCTTAAATTGACCTGTGCTTTTTTTTTTTTTTTTGATGGCCTCCCTTCTCCCCTTACAGCCATCCTCTCCACACCATTATTATGAAATATTTATTCTAGTGACTATCTAGTGTAGGTTTAAAAAAATAAATAAATAAATAAAATTGACCTGTGCTATTTTATGATGCTACAGAAATAAAACGTGTTGCTTCAAAACTGATCCAAATGATATACAAGCTCATCTTTGATCCATCGATTACTATTTTTCAAAATGTAGATGAGTCTAAACTTTTCTCATGTAAACATCCTCGTATGTTTCCTCTTCTGAAAGTTTGGATCAAAGTAGAAAAAAGAACGTGGACTAGGAAGCTGACTGACTCAGATCACATGACCCCTGGGGGAGGAAGTGCCCTGCAGTGAGGTCATGCTGCAGGGGAAACAATCGCAGTGGACAGAACACGGAAGGAAGCACGGTGTGTGTGTGTGTGTGAACACAAACGATGTATGATGTCATTTCCCCCTGGAAAAACTGAACTGCCAGAAAGCAACCTCTTAAAGAGGATATTCAAAAACACAGTTGGCAGTCGCATGGAAAAATAAAAATACAATCTTATATTTGTTCCTTGCAACACAAAGAGCTCCTATAATGATTTTGTATTATATATATATATATATATATATATATATATATATATATATATATATACTTTGTATATGTATTTTTATATATAATCACTGTAGAAATTATAGGACTCACCACCTTTGATGAATGCATATCAACCCAATAACTTTCAGAGTTTTCATGTTTTGTTGAAAAATGACAAAATGTCAATTTGATCACATTTTGAAAACAGTTTATATATAAACTGTTTATATGTATGTATAAACTCAATATTGCTTGATGAACAATTCGTTAGTGCTAGAATTTTGTGATGGGATGAAAATGGACAACAGCACATGATTTTAGATCAATCGCTGAAGAAATTACTAACTTGCAACTATTAATTCTGCCAATTTTGATAAGTTGATGCTGTCATCTTGAATTAGACACACAGTAAAAGTTGTTCAGTTGTATCCATACATCCATTATGTTTTACCCACTTCAACATTTTCGGGTCACGGGGCTCACTGGTACCCATATCCAGCAGTCACTGTGTGAGAGGCGGGGGACACCCTGGACATGTCTCCAGTCCATCACAGGGACACCTGGACCGGTCTCCAGTCCATCACGGGGACACCTGGACATGTCTCCAGTCCATCACGGGGACATCTGGACAGGTCTCCAGTCCATCATGGAGACACCTGGACAGGTCTCCAGTTCATCACAGGGACACCTGGACATGTCTCCAGTCCATCACGGGGACACATAGAGACAAACTGGACAAACAACCATTCACTCTCTCACTCACACCTAGGGACAATTTAGAGTTACTAATCAGACTAACATGCATGTTTTGGTCTGTGGGAGGAAACTGGAGTACTGAAAAAAAAAAACACGCATACATGGAGAGAACATGAAAACTCCACTCAGAGGGGCCACCGCAGCTGGAATTCGATCCAGTGACCTGCTTGCTGAGAAGCAACAGCTCTAACTGCGCCACTGTGTCGCCCTGTTCAGTTGTCTGTGTTCATTAAATGATACGTTCTAAGTGTTTATGAAAATCAGTTTGGTGGTTCGTTGGATATTTTGCTAAAAAACGAGAGATAATGCCAAAGCTTTGACCTGGAAGTGTCA